GCTTTGCTTTGCTTTGTTTTCTGAATGTCCAGAGGACCAGATTTAACTTTTGTACATTAAAACTAAGAACTACTCGTGATGGATGTAAATCAGTGTTTTGTTGAAAATCATTTTCCGTCACGAAGCTCCAAACAGATTAAAACTCTTCGGAGGCCGTTTGGAGTTAATGCTGCGCGAGTTAACGAGTCAAGACAGACAACGCTGCAGAAATGGGCCGCAACCACACATTCTAGTTGATTGGACCGGAGTCAGTCCAGATAAAACAAACAACAAAATTAAAACAGACAGAAACTGCCTAGGTGTTTGACGGTCCGGTCCAGTCTGGTCTGGTCCGGTCCGGTCCGGAGAGCTTCAGGAAGAGTCCGCTGGAGCTGCAGGAGACAAACAAAATAATATTTACATTAAAGGGTTTTCTCCTGTTTTCAATCATCTCAACATTCCTGTTCTTTCATCACAACAGCAGTGCTTTTATTTTGAAATGATCGGACTTGACCTTGACAGTCTAAAGGTCAGTGTTAGGCCCACCCACAAAAATGTTTTTCTGCCTCTTGTTCACAATGAAGTCACTTTAGGAGCCTTCAAACTTTTTGTTGTTGAAAACTTGGTCCGGAGAGTGAAAATCTTACAATATGTTTTTGTTGTGTGGAAAGGCAAAACACAACCGTCTGAAAATGATGATGTCATAGCCCCACTTCTAACCTGAGCACGTCTACTTCCTGTTCTCTACATTTGGTACGGACTCTGTACCACACCTCGTTTCCCGTCTGGTCCGGACTACGACAGACACTGCCAAGTTTTTATCAGCATGTGACCATTGCTACACGAGGAAATAACACACTGGACCGAGTTTACACAAACACGAAAGATGCTTATAAAGCTGTACCCAACCCCCATCTTGGACTCTCTGATCACATATCAATCTTTCTGGTTCCTGCTTACCTCCCCCTGCTGAGACGCTCCAGACCAACACAAAGGAAATTAAAGGGATGGGAGCAGTGACTCTATACTGAAAGACTGCTTTGCATACACAGACTGAGGGGCCGTTTACACGGCGTGTATTTTGAGTGCAGCCGCTCCTTCCTCTCTGAGGTTCTGCTGATCATTTACACGACACCAGTGGCCCCCTTCTTTGAATCCGGAGGTTTCTGAATCCACCTTCCAGAGTGGAGGTTTGTCTCTGACCCCCCGCTGATGATGTAAACATCTCCCGCTGAGGCTTTGTGTTAAACCACACGCGCACACGCACGTGCGGACAGACGCTATATTTCTATCAACATGGCGGCGACACAGCACTTTCTGAACTACGACTGATGGAATATATTTTAATCTCGTAGTTAATCTACGTCAGATTCCAGGTGCTGTGACCAACATCTGTGTTGGAAGAGACACAGTCAGATCCAGTTCTAATGTCGTTGTTTATAGAACGAGGCACGCGCACACGTCGCGCTGCACTATAACATACTAAATGTGCTAAATAATAAGTTAACACCACAAACTGATAATTAAACTGAACATTGAATGTCTTGAATAAAAGAACTGAGGGGAATTTTAAATAAATAGTTCATCAACATCTCTCTCTCTTCGACGTTCTGCTGCCGAGCCTGGTTCAGAACCGGTCCGCCTGGTGGGAGACAGCTCCTTCTTCTTTCAGGAAAAAATAAAAACTCGGTTGTTTTGTAACCGAAGTAAACACAAGCTAACATTATTAAGAACATTTGATTTACCTGCTGTAAACCAGCTACTGATGATCACGGAGTAAAGTCCAACATTGTGACTCGGTTCTGGTCCACTGAGCGACCGGTGTGGAGCTGTTAGACGAAGCGGTCCCGCTTGGCGTCAAATCTGTCGACTCTTTTATCCACAATCCAGCTTTAACTTGTTGTTAAGATGTTGTTAGCTGAGCTTTTTAGCTCACAGGAAACAGTGTGCCGAGGCAGCAGGCATGCGCATTAGTGAAGGTACAAAATTCACAGCGCCATCTAATGACCCGGCATGGTAACTACAGCGGATTCGGGAGGGCGGGGGGGAATCTTGCGGATGCATGTAAACCCAAAATACGACCGTGTCAACGCGGATCTTTTCCTCTGATTAACATACGAAAAAACCTATGTTTCCCCTCATCGTGTCCGTGTAAATAGGGCCTGACAGGTCTTCAGGGAGGCTGCTGTAAAGGAGGGGGAGCTAGACCTGGAGGAATACATATCCTCAGTCCTGTGGTACATTAGCAAGTGTGCTGATGATGTCACCACCTTCAGGAATGTGAAGAGCTATCTGAACCAAAAGTCCTGGCTGAATGCAGAGGTGTGCACCCTACTGGAAGGCAGAGGTGCACAATGCTTTAGGGATCCATCACTGTCTGATGCTCTCAACAGGTTCTATGCATGCTTTGAGGACCCAAACACCTAGCACCAGACTCACCTCATCACCGGAAGAAGAGTTCCTCAGAAGAAGTAAGGAGAACCTTCAAGAGGATTAATCCTCACCAACCACTGGCCCAGACAACATCCCCATGAAGGTGCTGAAAGACTGTGTCGATCAGCTCTGCGAGGTGCTGGCCGACATCTTTAACACCTCCCTCAACCTGGCAACAGTTCCCACCTGCCTGAAGACCACCACCATCATCCCAGTCCCAAAGAGCTCTACAGTGACTGGTTTGAATGACTATCAGCCAGTAGTCCTCACCCTGATAGTCACTAAATGCTTTGAAAGACTGGTCATGACTCACATCAAAACAACCATCAACATAAACGAGGACCCTCACCAGTACTTATACCACAAGAATAGAAAACAGAGGATGCCATCTCCTCTGTGGTCCACACTACTCTCACCCACCTGGAGCAGAAGAACTCTTAGGTCTGTATGCTCTTTATGGACTTCAGAGTCAGAGTCAGAGTCAGAGTTTCTTTATTGTCATTCGCACCTCATGTGGTACATGTGGTGGAGCGAAATTATGTACACAGGGTCCCA